GGGCTCATGTGTCGCAGTCTGGTTTCCGTTCACTTCATTCATGTTTGGATGCCTGGTATCCGCTTGCCATCTCCGTTGAAAAGTCACAACCGTCAACAAGACAAGCTTTACGACAGACTTCACTATCGGCAGGATCAATGTTGAGATCGCTCAAAATGACACAGGGAAGATCACGGACCAAACTAGCTTCAGCAAAGACATCCTGCAACAGAAGTTCGTTTTGTGCGTGAACCGAGGAATTAGAGTATTGGCCAGGGTATCCATAAAAGACAATGACATGCAAGGCCCGACGTCAGCAGCCGTAAGGAATCATGGCATGGAGCCAGCGACCAGAATTCCACAGTTTTTGCCGAAGGGAAGAAGTCATAGGAACCAGCTCTGCAGCAAGGTGGGGGCGAAAAGCCAAGGCAACCCCACCAGGGCGACCGTTGAAAAAAGTACGGAACTTATTATTTTGCTGTGGTCGTTCAACAACAGGAAGACCAAAAAGGATATCATAGCCGACACTACGCATTTTGTGAGATAGGGAAAGCATGCCACGCTTGGTGTGTCGACTTTCTTGTAATCCAATAATGTCAGCAAAGTCCAGGGACGCGAAGTTCTTCTTAAGGGAAGTCACATTACAGGTGGCGACGGACAAAGTAGTACCAGTCGGCACATTAGAAGAAGACATAACTGAAGGGTCCGAAGAAGTCGCAGGTGAAGATTCGATTACATGACCGGAAACCTGTGTAGACAAGATGGGTGAAATAACCTGAGCAACAGAATTTGAGGCCACAACAGCGTCATAGTGAATGCCATTATATGCAAGCCACACCGGCGAGTGCTGAGCAAGGTCGACAGGACAAGGAATTACGGTCAAACCCTCGACAGACACTACATGCATGTCGCGTTGCAAAACATGGGCCAGAGCATGAAGGGTCAGGTGGTCACCCCAGGCGGCATGGCAAGCCATGCGCGAAGTGTATTGTTGAAGAGATTCAGAGGCCAAAAAATGTCGGAAGAGGTCCGGGTGCAAGTCAATAAATTCAACCGCCAAGGAACGTAGCAAAACATGATCCAATGCACAAGCCGCGGAAACAGCATGGAACTGACAATTACCATCACCGGGAACAGGCTGCCTAACAAACTGACGCTCACGGAGCCAAGCATCTACAGAAACCCACGAGTGAGCAACAGATTGTTTACCCCGAAGGCGACGACGGGCGCCACCAATTAATTGCCATTAGAAAGAGCGAGAGGGGGAGGTTCCGGGGCAGAAACTTTGGGAACGGAGGAGTTGCGAGCGAGCTTAGAAGGGGGCGTAGCACCAGTGCTACTTTCAGCAGAACGACGGGGTTGTACCGCAGGTTTGTCAAGACGACTCAAAATCTGAGAGAAGCCATATTGAAGCTGTTTTTCAATTTGACCACTGCGGGCTTCCAAAGTATCAAAGCATTGTTCAAGATTGGCGACCCTGTCAACAAGAGAGGCAGGAGCAGCGGGAACACCTGAAGAAGGAGGCGGACTGGAAGCTTTCTTTGGCGGCTTGCTAGGAGCAAGACAAAATTCGATGACCTTTGGCAAGATAACAATAGGAGAGAGGAGGTTTGTCAGCTTTGACGATCATATGCATTTGCCCAGAAGAGATCCAAGATTTCACGGGAATGACAAACCAACCAGTGACATCGCCAACTTTCCAAGCAGCAAACTGGGAAATAACTTCAGCACGGGTGGCGCCAATAGGAAGCCCAGAAACTTGATACAGTACAAAGAGTCACCACGGATTTTCAAATTGGCAGCGCTGAACTTAGAATCATCAGGCACAGCAAGTTTGCGGACGACATCCAGTGTCGAAACAGGAGAACGAATGCCGAACGACTGCTTTGACATGACAAGTCCAAGATGATTGTCAAGTTGTTTGATGAGGACAAGAGAGTCGTTGTAAGACAGCTTGCCCAACCAGACAACGGCAGAGTTCTGAGATCTTGCTTCACGCGAGGCATCATCACGACAAACGAGATTGATGCAGAAAGGGACTTTGACACCGCTGGCAGAAAGCAAGCAATCCGTACAGGAAGATGGAGAACGAAAACTAACCCGATGCGTGGTAGCATCCAGCTTGGACCAAGAATAAAATTCAATTGATTTCAAGTCAGCGTGGAGATCGCGAAGCAACAAAGGAACACGAGAACGGGCATCAGCGATGAAAGATTTCCAAGCATCATCAGATTGAAGCAAGCGACGGCTGAGCAGGGCAGAAAATTTACAAGTGGAAGAGACATCCCAAGCCGGACCATCGTCAAGAGAAGTGGGAAGGACAGCCTGTGTGCCCATTTGGACGATTGTGACCAACTTGCGAGCCCAACGGTCATCGAGCGGGTCGCGAATGAAGAGCCAATGAACCGAAATAGCACTGTCGGAAAATCCAAGCTTTTTCAAATCAGAGTTCTGTCCACCAGGAAGGACAACAGCCAGAGGAGATTTGGAGCGAACACGGTATGAATCGTCAAACAAAGCACGATTAAGAAGAACAATCCCACAAGCTTTTTTCGGCAAAGGAGTCCGGGGAAATGCACGCGACGCCAGGAAGAGAATCCAAAGCAAACTGCGAGAGATCCAAGCCACAGTCAATCCATCGAGAGCGAGAAGCGGCAGCACGCAACGTGGGTTTGGAATTCTTGGCATTCATGTAAGAGGCCCAGGGATCGGAAGGGACCGAGCTGCCCGCAGGTCCAGCGAGGAAGCAGAAAGCGGCGTAGACGAGGCCGCGGAATGGAAGCACGCCTTGAGCGACACAACCGACGGCGACCGGCAAAACGGCAAGGCAAAACCCGGCGGAAACGTCTAGGACGAGGCCGAATGCAAAAAAGCCAAGCACAGACACATAAACGCCAAAGCAAAAAGCATGCAAATTGCGATGAGCAGTCAGGAATGAAGTCAAGCAAGCCAGCTACACAAAGACAAATTCCAGACAAAATCTCAAAGTGAAGTACAAAATCAAAACTAAGTTGGACTGCGAGTGCAAACATGCAAAGGAGCGAGAAGAGCCCTTCAAAGACAGTAGACAGAACGCAGCCACTCTGTACTTTTGTAGACAGCCCCCCAGCCTAAGGTAGCTGAGCCAGCAGCCGTAGCCCCTGTCAAGGCATACCAGGTACAGTCATCAGACGACTTGGCCCCGGCAAGTTCGTTCTCAAAGGCTCGCAGAGGAGAGGCAATGTAGTTGTTGTCCTTGTATGCTGCCGTAACCTATCAAAGGGTTCAACCGTCAGCACCAGAGAAGGTAAAAACCCTAGGAAGCAGGTTGCTTCCCACGAAGGCGTCTACGGGGTGTAGCTTTAGTGGATGTGGTAGGCACATCATGGTTATAAGGGCATCGTTGGCCCATCGTTGTTTTTAGGTCAGATTTTTTGAAAGTCTTGCCACAAAATTGACATTCGGGAGAAAATTCAACCTGAATCAGAAAATGGAGATTATTTTCCTTCGCAATTTGGCTGTGATTTTGCACTTGGGACGATGCATACCTTGGCGGGTTTTACTCAGTGTCTGAGCTCTAGTATGAGAACCTTTCCGGTCAACTAGGGTAGTGAGTTTGTGACACAAGCGTTGGGCAAATTTGATAGCATGGTATTTATGGACAGTGGTGTCACAAAAACTACATTGAATGGTGTCCCCAATTTAAGGTGGTGTCGATTTTCACCTCTGGCGGCAGAATTAAGCTTATCGATTTGTTCTTGAAGGGCCCGATCAAATTTTTCAGTACGTTTTTGACCACGGGTCAAAGCTGCTGTACCCTGTTTCACCTGCTCGAGAAAAGATTTAACTTTTTGCGCTGCATCTGCTTCAGTTAAAAAAGGGCCGAAACTGTGACGCTTGCCATCAAATGGGATGACCACCTTAAAAGAGTTATTTACCTTTCGGACATATTGGTATTTGGAGCCCCCAGGCCGGGCTGAGGTTGGGAGAAGAAATCCATTATCGTCATGTGTGGAGTACATCAGGTGTTGAATCTCTAGATACAATGGGTTTGTTCGACTCATTTTGTGCATCCTGTTGGCGTTTCGCAACAGCTGGCCGGGGATCAAACCACTGGAAACCATCAGGCTTGACAAGTGGTTCCGTATCATTACGGGCTTTAATAATGTGAACCATGGTGAGTTGCAACTGGTGAGCGAAACAGTTCGCATCAACTGGCCAATCTCTGGAAATATACATGAGCTGCTCATGTGAAGAGATGATAAAACGGATTTGGTCATTGGTTAGGGGAAAAACACCACACCTGCGAACACTTATGGGAAGAGTGGGAATGCTGTTGTTCAGAAAGAAATTGAAGTCTGATGGATTCCCACATCGGGCAACCCCAAAATAGGTGTTCGGCATCTTCAGTAGCGGACCAGCAGAAAGGACAGGTGGGATAATCCACAACTTTATTTGGCCCAGTCGCCCCAAGCGCTTCCAGTCAGGCCATCCTGAAAGAACATGCTGTGGTAGGTGGTAGTTGCACCATGTCGAATGGTCCACCTGCGGCAGGAACACAAAGTAGAATGAAGGAGGACCAGCTCTGCCCGGCAAACGTGTGTCGGCAGCACGTGCGGGAGGACCACGTGCCAGGGTCCCTCCCAGGTGCCACGCCGCCAGAGCTTCGATGAAAAAGCAAAAAGCAACTGCACATAGTCGAGGATGCAGTCGGAAAACTGTGTCATACCAAGCAAAAGACATCGCACATATTTCCTGAGGCGATGTTGCAAAACTGTGAGCCCATGCACTGAGAGAAAACGTAGTGCGGAAAAAACTGTGCCAAAGATGAAAAGTAGGTCAAAAAGTGCACGGGCAAGCACCATTCAGCTAAGCACTGGGCCCAGCTGGGGCCCTTTCCTTCAGAGCCGCCCACAAGTCTTTGGTGAGTTGACTTTGGAACTGGCGACTGGGTTCCACAAGCCAAGGAATAGAGCTACTCCGAACAAAATTTTGGGCAAGGATAACCCATTGCTGCCAGAAGGAGTCCACAGCCAATGCGCTCAGGCAAACTTTCCACTTCCAGGACCTGCCATCCTCCGCCCGAAGGTCGACAGGCTGAGGTCGACCACTGAATCTTCCAGCTGAAGCAAATGGGTCAAGGCTGCTTTGCTGTCCGGAGGAGCCACCTTGGACATACGATCCAGAAGGGCATGAAACAGGAAAACTTTGCGAGGGCCAAATTAGTTCGGTTTTTGTTGCTGCCCGGCCCGACGTTGCTCTGGAGACAAAGTCACTTCTTTTTGTTTGGCATGCCAGGCATTGACCAAGCCAAGCAAGTACTTCTTGTCTTCTTCGTCTTGCACTAACACCACCAGTTGCGTCGAGTTGGTGGCATCGATCAGTTGGTTGTTCTGCAGAAGGTGGCTCCGAAGAAGCTGAGTCAGCAACATCTCGGAAGAGCCGGCAGCCGGTATAGGAGCCTCTTCGCCCCGAGGACGCTTGGTGCGGGGTTCCGGGGCACCCGCTTCCACAAACTGTTGTGCAGCTTGCAAAGCTGCGGCAGCCATTGTTGTAGAAGGCAAAAATGATGCGAATCATGCACTTGCTTGACCAAAAAAGGCTGTCAGGAAATCAAGCAAAAGGTGAGACACAAGCACTGTCACATTGTCAAGCCATATGTTCAAATGCGAATATGTTCATTGTCAATATCATGCCACAGCCCGGTGTTGAGGGCCAGTACACTCTGCTGTCTTCTTTCGCGACACTGCACAGAATGTCGTCCACGCGCCTTTGCAACTTCAAAACGAGTTCCACAATGCGGGCAGTTGTACAACGTAGTAGTGACCAAACGCTGAAGAAATCGAATCCGATAGAGCCAGTTATCATAGGACATACCCGGACAACTTCTCATGTGTTTTTGACATTTGCCAGAAGAAGGAAAATCAGCTTGACACCAAATACATTTGGTCCGAGATTCCGTCGGACCATACCTTGGACAAGGGAGATCAGTGGTAGACATGACTCTTGCTTTGACCAAAAACGTGGCACTGTTATGATATTTGTTCCACGAAGTGAGCCAAGTACTGGGCCAAACTGCACGGTCCTGTGGAAAATCCGCAGGAGCTGGTTGTTTGCCTTGCAATCGAATGCGTCTGAAAACTGGATCCGCAGGAGGTGGAGCAGGTTGAGCGGCTGCTGCCGCTGCAGGTCGCCGAAGAACACGGGGACCTGAAGGTTCTGCGTCACGGAGGTCTCGTTGTCGAGCGCGTCGTTGTCGAACTGCAACGGAGAGCGGAGTGCAGGAGGGAATATGTCAAACTCAAGATGAGTCCACACCCTTCCAAGGGACACTTGTATCGACCATCTGGACATTGTATGGCACCAGTAGAGGCCTCGGCTCGGGCCGCTGCAGCTGCTCGCCGCCTGGCGGCCAACCCTTCTGCAGAATGTTTGTTGCGCCACTCAAACTGACTTTCTTTTTGACACCAGTCTTTATGCCACGAAGCCAGCTTTTGTCTCCAAAGAATACCATCTTGTTGACGAGCAAGGTCCATCCATTGAGGCGCTGCTGTACGCAACATTTGTTTCAAAAAACGCCAGTATTGTTGTCGAAGTGTAGGGCCAGTTTTCAGTCCCGGCTCAGCACCTTCTGGCCAGAGGGTTGCATGCAAAACCTGCCTCTCAATGCGCCCCGGGTCCAAACGAGCCAAGTGGCCAAGGTATTGCAATTGGCGAGTGTCAATAATATGCCGAATAGGAAGAAGACCACACTTGTTCCTGAGGTCTGCAAGAGTAACCTGGTCTTCAGACATGGTTCTGCGGCGCTGTGAGCAAATAGAAAAAGTAATGCGGTTCAGAAAAATTTGATACTTCGAGAGTTGCTTGCCAGAAAAAGAGCGTCGTTCACATCCATACAAAAGACAATTAACCACCGTAGCCTGTACCAACCGACCCTTACACTTAGGGTCCAATCCCAGTCGTTGAAGTTGAGGGTGAAGCTTGTGCCAAAGACGTTGCGCTGCAATTAAACGCTCATGTGTGTCACGATCATGCTTTCCATCCCACTGTAGCCAAACTCCAAGGAAACGAACAGCGTCATCAAAGGCTCCCCCTGCAGAGGGCGGCTTACCTGCTACCAAACGATGTGTCTTGCCTGGGTGGAGACGTTCTGCAAAATCCCGTAGGCTGGTGGCCATGTCTGTTTCAAAATCTTCGAGCTGTGAAGAGCGCGTCAAACCAGTGGTGTCATCAGCAAAAAGTAAAGCAAAAGAAATCAAGGGAATCCAACTGTTCTGGCTTTCCTGCCAGTTGTCTGCGTAGATGAAAAGGAGCCTGAGGATTCAAGGTGCAATGAACTCCACGATTGCCAGCTTGTGCTTGTCGGTGTAGAAAACGGCCAATAGCAAAATTATGAAAAATGGAAAAGCAAACAGGACTACTGGGACATCCTTCTCGTAAGCCAATTGCCAAAGAAAAAGGTTCACTGTATTCATCACCACTGCGAATAACGTAGTCCGTGCAATCATGCAATCCATAGAGGACCCGAAGCATTGTCTCGGGTACCCCAAGCTTATGAAAAAGTTTCCAGCATATGTGGCGTTGCGTGCTAGGATAAGCCTTCACAATATCCCAAAGGACCAAAACCAACGGGTCCCACGAATCTTCTTGACGTCGTATGTGCCCATTAGCCATTTCCAGGAGCAAGGTGAGGACAAGCGCCGGGTCTGTGCAGCGACGGTTGGGGCGAAATCCCCACTGGAAGTTGTGCAAAAAGTTACTCTGCTCAGACCAATGTTGCAGTCGAGTGGCCACAATACGAGCTAACACGCGACTGATAAGTGGCAGCAACATAATAACCCTGTAGTTTCCTAAGTCCTGGCGATCACCTTTCTTATGCAGGTAAATTCCAATGCCTTGCTTTACCGAATGAGGCCAAACATCTGGTTGCGAGACCCACAGCGACTGTATGATGCTGATAACACAATCCATTGCACGAGGGCCAGCCCACTGCAGCATGCCAGCCGTAACTTCGTCCCTACCTGGTGAACAATCCCGAAGACGTCGAACTGCCAAGCGAACTTCAGCTGGAGACGGTGTATGACCCAGCCAGTGAGCCACGGTACCCCAAGGCACATGATCAAGGACCGCATCTGAAACCTCTTGTACCGAACCACTGACTGCTTGACAATGCGAACGAAGTGCAGTGATATCATGATCAACTTTACCAGCAACTGTATGATCCGACAAATGGACCCCAATCTTTTTCAAAGACTTGTAGAACCGACCCATGTCATGAAAACGAATGTGTTGTTCAGCTTCAGTGCAAAGGTGACGGACAAAACGAGACCTGGCTTTGGAGCGAAAACGTTGCAGTTGACGGCTCAGCATCCGATGTTGATGTTTCACACGTTGTTGCTCTGCGGGAGAAGAACTTTCTTGAAGGCGAGACCAAAGTAAAGCCAAGTCTTCACGCATTTCCGAAATTTCATGTAGGTCCTCATCAGAATAAGGCGCGCCCATCCTTGGCACTTTACGACCAAGGACGTTTTGCGCCGCATCCACCATAATAGAAGAAAGAGTATCCCATGGTATCAACGGTTCTGTATTGGCAAACTCACCATCCATGAACCAAGGAGAGTCAAGGCCATTCCAGGGAGGCCGCGGTTGAGGGCCACCATGTTTGTAGGTGTGACGAACACGAGGAGGAATCATTCCAGACATAGGCAACGGAGTAGACTGGTTCGGGACCTGGAGAGCGGGAAAAACTTTGACCTCACCCCGAGAGCCCTGCTTGGCTAATCGATCAGCCATTTCATTGCCATGCACACCTTGATGACCACGAATCCACTTCCAGTCGAGACAAATACCCTTGGACTGGACGCGAGCAAGCTGCCATCGACACCATTGTATCAAGGAAAGGTTAGACTCAGGCTGCCAAAGACCACGAACCATGTTTGCTGCATATTGACTATCAAAACAGATTTGTACCGCAGAGTTGGGCTGAACATACGTATGTATCCACTTCAATGCCACACCCAGAGCTTCCAATTCACCTGTGCTGTTGGAGTGTTGACAGGCCCCATGAAATAGCGGCTCAGTGTCCAAAATCGACACAGGGGCACAATATTGTTCTGTTCCATCCGGAAGAGACACAAAGAGACCCCACCCAGCAGTGGTGGATCCCTGGTCCCCACACGAGCCATCTGTATAGAGATTGCCGCAAAATCACTCTGCGGAAGACAAGCAACCTCATCAGGGGGAACAGAGGAGGGAATTCCTTGGTTTTCCAAAGCGTCTTCAACGGTAGTTCTGAAAAGCCGGCGCTTACGGCCAGCTTCATCAGAAGGGCCCCTCATCTCCTCCACCTGAAGCTTTTGTTGTTGTTGATGAATCTGCTTCATACGAGAAACATGAAGAAAGCGAGCCTTGCGATCTTGTCGAGTTTTGCCCTTGCACGGGTCAGAAAAATGCAAAACAACCTCTTTACCCCAGTGATCCGAAATGCCCAGCGAAAAAGTTGTAACATTCTGAAATTCCTTCCGAATAGACTGCGAAGCACAAAAAAAGTCAAGTTCGTAGAAATGTCCATTCCGGTGGCGCCAGGTTGCCCTTTTTGCACAAGGACGAAACGAATCCACCATGCACAAATGTGTACCATAAAGCCAGCTGCGGTGGATACGTCCACCCAAGGTGGTGGGAGTGCTCATAGAAAACTGACCCTGATGAATGTGGTCGCCAACGTGATCCATACCAGCATGGGCATTCCAGTCGCCAGCCAAAACCTCGTGACAGTCAGGCGGAAAAGCCGCCCGTAACAATCCAACTCTGCAAGTGACTGCCTTCGATCTGCCACCCTGACAAAAGGCAAAAGGTAGACAGCCACAAAGACATCAGTCTTGTTGCAAAAATTGAAACTCAAAGCACACAAGTTGTCGCCTCGGTCCCATCGACGTTTGCCACTCTGAGACCAAAGAACGTAGAACTCAAGTGACATTAACCATCCAGCACGATCGTTAACCACCAAAACGTAGTCTTCGATGTGCACAACACACGGCCCCATGGTTCCATGAAGTTCTGTGAGAGCAATCAAGTCAGCCTGGGAACTACGCATGTGTAAAAGAAGCTGTACAAGTTTGTCTCGATGCTGCAAACGATGCCAAGCAAGCCCCTGGCAATTCAGAGTTTGGAGACGTACCGATACAAGATCGCGGACAGGACGTGAAGGCCTGTAAACATGTCGAATTCGACCAAGGCGGCGCCCAGAACTAGCTGACTGCTGAGAGTAATCAGAAAGAACCGGGGTCCCCTTCCTCATGCAACTGCTTTGCCGCACCACCGGGTAAGATTGGTCCGGAGGACCACCACATGAAGCCACCCGGCGGAATACTCCATGTAGTCTATAGCCTTCATAGGCAGCCTCTGCGTAGTTGGCCAGTGCGCTATAAGCGCACTGTTCCTCGGAGCACCACAAAGAGGTTACGCAAAGCCCCGTGAAAGAACATGCCGATGATGGCCATCATTGCAAGGCGGCCATTCGCCGTAGTAGTAGTAGTAGTAGTAGTAGTAG